AAGAAGTTTGTTTTCTTGGTGTAATGTTAGATGAGAACTTATCATGGAAAGCACATATATCCCATGTTGCTCATAAAATTTCTAAATCTGTTGGAATTATATATAGATCAAGTTTTTATCTCTTCAAATCAGCTTTGCGAATGCTCTACTCTGCTCTGGTATATCCATATCTTCAATATTGTATTACGGTATGGGGATCGACGTATTCAACTAATCTCTATCGCATTGTTGTCCTACAAAAACGTGTGTTACGAATCATTGATAAACAGGACTTCGGTGTGCATACCAGTCCTATTTTTGATGAACTTAAAATATTGAAATTCGAAGATATCTATCCATTTAACCTCGGAAAGTTTATTTATCAATACAAACATAAATTGCTTCCTGATTGTTTTGAATGACCACTTTTAACTGTAAATCAAATTCACAATTATAATACCCGTAAATCCAGAACACTTAGCGTCCCTTATTGCCGGACAAATACTCGCCTATTTTCTGTCAATTATCAAGGACCAAAATTTTTCAATACGTTGAATCCCGATATACGTAATTCATTATCTATTTTTAGTTTTCAATCTAAGTTAAGATCGTTTCTTTTTTCTCGCGTTACATATAGTTTCAATATTTAGCAATTTGGCTCATTTAATTCATTTTTACTCGAATATATGTCTTTGCCCTAGTATCATGCACATGTTTCATTTAATCTAGCTGAAATCAACGAGGTAACCCAAAGTATACAAGCCTGATGGTTTCTATTTGGGCTTCCTCACCACAATTATTTTTTTGTGATATGTATGATTTTCTGGTATTTGTATTTTTTTTTGTGTTAAACCAAATAAACATTATTATTATTTTACCACCAATACTTGTAAAATAGTCATTAAGACAATTGGCCATTCTCATAGGAGAAGCAATTGTATCATTTCCTAGCTTTAGTTCGTTAATCATTGTGTCCTTTTTTCTCCCAAGGATATCATTAATCGTCCTCCAAGCCTGTTTAGGATTGTTTGGATGTTTGTCAAATTTGCTTTTGTAGTAAACTTTCTTAGCTTCACGCATTGCAATGTTGACATTATTCCTATAATGTTTATACTGGCTCCAGTCTTCACTTAAATCCGACGAAATTGCTTTTCTTTTCAAACGGTCCCTTTCAAACATTTTGTTTCTGATATTCCTAGTAATCCATGCCACAGATGTTTTATTTCTTACCCGTCTTTCCCTAACTGGGGCATGTTTATCAACAACAGTTATAAAAAGATTTTTCCAACATGCCCATTTATTATCAATATCGGTTTCTCTGCCAACTAAATACCACGGTGAAATTCTCAACATTGAAATGCTTGAAGCTTCGAAAATCGACTTTTTTGCTAGCGTGAGGTTTAAGATATGAATTAATTTTTCTTACTACATAAATTAAACTATGATCACTCACTCCCATATGAATTACATCATGAAATTCAATTCGCTCAGGACAGGAGGTAATACAAACGTCTAGTAATGTAGAAGACGATTCAGTAATCCTTGTAGGCTTATCGATTACTTGTGTAAGTTGATAAAGTTGCATGATAGAATGTAAGTGTTTAGCAGAAGAGTTGGATTGGTCTAACAGATTACAGTTTAGATCTCCTAATAAGTAAATTTCCTTATTCTCGTTATCGACATTCTTAAGCAAAGATTCAATTTGTGAGAAAGATTCGACGGTTGCTGACGGCGGACGATAAATAGTAGAAACGATAAAGGAACGAGAGTTGGGCTGGTTAATTTCCAAACATACTGACTCTAAATTTTCCGGCACTAAATCACCACGATTTAAATATGATATCGTCCGCCTAATGTAAAAACAGACACCGCCACCGTGTTTGTCCCTATCCATGCGAACTATATCATATCCGTCAATATTAACAAATTCACTTGGAATATCAGGGTGAAGTCTTGTTTCATTTTCAGATTCTTTAAGTTTGGTGTTTAAATCGGATACTATGAAGGACAAGTTAGCGACCTTTTGCAGCAGGGATTTGTTTTCATCCTTTAATGCTCGATTTTCGTGGAGGAGCGACTCGTTAGCATACGCCTTCCGTTTAGTTTGATAGTTTATTTGACACTAAAAATTACAGCTCCAGAATATAACTAATTCCACTGCTGAAATATGTTAGGTTTACAAGGATATTAAAACTAATTTTACATGTATTTGTTTAAGAAAACGAATAAGATTAGACTAAATACTTAAAAATACACATTCACATATATATACTGTATGCGCAGACTTATAATTTGTTACTAAAACACTCACTAATGCTAATTTAGATTAGGTTAAAAACCAGCATATTCGCGGTAAAAACAGTTTCTAAGTTATTCAAAAAACTTATTAGAGTTATAAGTGATAAAACTGTTCCTAAATCTGTTCGTTTTATGAAGTGGCACGTTAAATTTCCTATTTTTACGCAAAAAATGACTATTGTCATTATTTAATGGCGGTAACAAATCCGTTAATTTGTGCTCAGGATTATTGACTACGTCCTTAAAAAGTTTTGTTGTTAATTCCTGTCTTCTATCGTACAGTGATGGGGTGTTCGTGTTCCTCAATGCTTGTTTGTAGTGTTGATCTGGGAATATTATTCGAAAAGCTCGTTTCTGAAGTCTTTCAAGATCATCAGACAGGTATTTGGGTAATGAGTCGTGAAATGCTTGGCACGCATACTCGATGACTGGTCGAATACAGGTGGAGTAGAAAAGGATTAGGTCGTTAGCTGGTAATTTCGCTCGTTTTAGTTGTCTTAAAAAATATAGACGAGGTGCGACCTTTTTACAAACGTGTGAAATATGACTATTCCACTTCAAGTTATTTGAGATGGTTAGACCCAGCAATTTTACCGATGTTACACGTTCGACAATTTTCCCATTAATAGTAATTGGCTGGAACTCACGTATGCTTGGTGCAAAGCTTATACACAACTCTTTGCATTTTGATTCGTTTATCTGAAAACCGTTAGCTTTTGATTTCTGGTTAAATTCATCTACGTACTTTTGTAAGTTACTTGGACCATCTCTACAAACTGATTCCGACAAGGATGAGTCGTCAACATATTTCCATAGATCATTAACGTCCTTAACGCTTAGATCATTAATCATAATACAAAATAACCATGGGCCGAGCTTTGTGCCTTGGGGGACGCCGGCTGGGACCTTGCCCCATTCGGAATGGCAATCTTGGCTGAGTTTTACCCTCTGTTCTCGGTCAGTCAGAAAGTCTAAGATCCAAAGCATGACAGACCTCGGTAAGTTATACTTTGTTAACTTCTCCGATAAAATATTGTGGTCTATTAAATCAAATGCTTTACGGAAGTCAAACGTCATAACTCGAGTTGTTGAACCGTTACCATCCGTATCCTTATTCCAAGTGTGTAGCATGCTTATAAGAGCATATGTCGTACAACTATCCGGCACCGTCCCAAATTGTTTACTATCGATCAATTCCATCACTGCTGGCTTCACATAAATCATTACAACAAATTCTTCTGCGAGTTTCGATAGAATAGGTGTAAGTGAAATAGGGCGTAACTGACGATTGATATCCTGGATGGGCTTTTCTTTCGGTATTGGAACTACGTCCGCCTTCTTCCAAACTGGCGGTAGGGTACATTCCCGATATGAACAGTTCAAGATGGCCGCTATCGGACCAGCTAATAGATCTGCGTTTTCTTTTAGGAGCCACGACGGTATGCCATCCGGACCATGAGCTTTTTTGGGATTAAGTTTGAGAAGAGGTTTTCGAAAACAGCATTCGATGTTACAGTAATTACTGTATCACTTTGTGCAGGTTGGATGAGATGTTGACGAGGTACTGAGGAGTACCGTTTATCTTGTATACTAGATACTTCTTGCGTTAATTAACGCACTGATTTTGATGTTAACGTCCAGTTCCAAATCCTTTATTTTCTCTACAAGTTCACTGCAGATTAAACTATGATTTGGTTGCGTTGATAAGTCAATTACTTGAGAGCTTGAATTGAGTTTACGAGTTGAGAAGTCTTCGCCTTCAATAATGATTGACCTTTCGACTTCATTATGTATGCCAATGTCGAGGTTGTTTTTGTCGATCAACGATATAGCATCATCTTCATCAGACTCTGTCCTAGCAATTGCTCGCAATTTGTCCTTCAGCTGTTCACAATCAATTCCTTTAATAGTAAGCGAGGACGTATTCACATACCATCTAATTTTGACCGCTTCGTTCTCGAAAAGCTTTGAGTTGCCTCCTGGCGACGATTGACGACAAGATAAATTCTTGAAGATCCTCAAATTTACCACGCCACTTAAAATTACCCTTCGTTGAGATCGAAAGAGATTGTATTGCATCGCTTTTGGTCGCCATTAATGGTTATAACTATAATGCACATGAAATTTTATACGGAGCACAAAATACACGTCTGCTCTCTTGGTTTGGTGAAGCACAGATGATATGGAGAATGATCTTATGGAGAATGATCTTGCGAACTTCCAAACCTCCTCTGCCAATGCAAATCTTCTCCTCAACACAGATAAATGTAAAACACTTCGAATTACTAGAAAACGCAACACAATCGACCATACATACAAATTGCAAGATTCCGCTCTGAAAACCACAAGTTGCGAGCGTGACATTGGCGTCTGGACATCCTCCACCCTCACATGGTCCAAACAAGTCCTCCACCAGTGCGCCCAAGCCAACAAATCCCTCGGGTATATTCGACGGTCCACGATCAAAATCAAGACCATCTCTGTTAACGTTCGTCTTACTCTATCTTACCCTCGTTCGTTCCCACCTCGCATACGCGTCCCTAGTCTGGGCTCCACAAACTGTTGACATCAGTTAGCGTACAAAACGCGTTCAAAGACGTTCGTCAAAATACATATTGAACCTACCTTTATTCTGTGACATCAGCTATAACCATCGTCTCTCAACATTGAATCTACTAGGCCTATACTACCTTTGTGTTACTGGCACGAGTACCTAGACATATTAAATTGTTCCTTTTCAAATCACATCATGACATTATTAACCTAAGCAGCGACATACTACCATACCCTCAATATTCAAGTCAACGTACCCGATCTACAAACCCTAACTACCTACAATTTCAGACTTCAGCATGTAAAACATCTAACTATCAAAAATCCTATCTAATAAGACTATGCTAGATTCTGGAACACACTGCCAATGGATTTAGTTACCATTAATGGCATGATAACCTTAAAGGAGTTTAAAAATAAGTTATATATCTATTATAAAATAGCATTAGATAAATGTTATGACCGTTGACGATCCACGAACATGGAAATCGGTTTGCTTAAAATGCAATCAAACTCGCGCAACCTTACAAGGCCGATAACGTGTTTTGTTTAGATTTTAATAGTTTCCAGAAGTAGCTTTTCGCATTGGTACCTATGGGACCTATCCAGGGTTTTGCTGAAGGTTTAGGATTGTGAGGGTTAAACGTCTTCTGATTCAGTCAGCTTCCGAAATTAGAAGTGGTCCTGTGGGTCGCAATGTGAATAGTTGAATCTGATAGTTCGTTAGTAATTGTTTTTCTATGTACGTATATATAGTATCTTTTTCTTACATGTAGGGATCGCAGTAATTGGCGCAAGCTGTTGGGATTGCCCTGCCAGTTTTTGTGTTAACGTTAATTGTTTGAATCTGGCAAAGTTAATAAATTAAATTTAATAAAAGCGCACTACCTTCGTGAAACATGGCTAGGAAACAATGTTTCCATGCAGCAACAGCGGCCCCTATATAGTTTTCAGCATTAATACCAGTCATGCATATACTTGCACAATACATTGAATTGATCGAAACACTGTATAATTTTGAGAATTACAATTTACTAGAAAGTAACATACTAAAAACATTAAAGCCTAGTTTCTATTTGGTCGTTAGTTGTCGCTGGCACGACAAGTGGCTGATGTAATAGAGTGTCAACAAAACTTTATAAAACTCTGCAATCATTAAGACTGATTTGCATATAACACACAAAAAGACTATTATTATATTAGACTATTTCACATCTACCGCTTGTCGTGCCAGCGACAACTAACGACCAAATGGAAACTATAGGCTTAAGCAGTTTACAAAATTCTAACTATAAAGACTGTCACACATTATTTCGCGTATTTAAGTATTCATATTTAAGTATATTTTAATTTTGTATAGTGAATGTAACTTATATTGCCATGCTTCCATTAATTTCTGTAGCTATAAGTTATAACGATAATAATTACATAATTGTTTTCTACATATATAAGCTAATAGTATACGCGCGTTTCTAACCTATTGGCTATGCGAGATTTTTCTTATTTGGTGGATCAATTATCTAAATTT